ATCAAAATTTTATTTTATTTCTTGGACAATGAGCTAATGTACATGAAAATAACCTGAGAATCATAAAATATTATGAAAGTGTTATTATTAAGGCCAGCTCAATTTTTCCCAACACTGAACTTCAAACTGTTGAAATGGGAAAGGATTCTCACTGAGCATTGTTAACTGAAAATCACTGCTATTAAGTTGCCCATTTTTTAAAGTCATAAAATACTACAGAGAAGGTTGAAGACAAGCTCATAAAAGGTTAGAGGAAAGGGCAATGGCTATAATAAGAATATTGGGAAGCAGATTAGTAACTTCAGACACTTGTGGCAAATGGTAAAGGGGAATGGCAAAAAATAAATGTTATATTGACAAACGGCAAAAAGGTTGGTCTAGTTTAGATAAATGTAAGCATAGAAATTTAACTCCAAAATTCTTACCTGTAGGCAAATGACCTTCAGAAATTAAGAATATGAGATAGGCATATTTTATCTACTCATATTTATAGGATTAAATGATATAAAGTATACTGCTTACATCATAAAACAGCATTCAATTATTGGCAGCTTTTATAATAAAGAACATAATGATCAGAAACAAAACTGCTAACCTACCCCTGTTTTCATATTTCAGAGAAGAGCAAGCAGCAGTAAACCAAGGAAAGAATGGCGCTCTGAATCTAGATAAAGTCACAAGATTCACACAGCCACGATGAACCTTTTACTAGATATTTGTTTAAAACCACACAGCTTAGCAGTAACATGAGTTTCACCACTAGGTGGCAATGACACAGCTGCATTTCACCAAAAGGATGAGTTCTGAAGACAGCAAATCCAGACAAAATTCCAAGAAGGTTTATAGTACATATTTTCATTTTAGAAAAATTATTTTATATACTATTTAATTAATAGCAAAACTTTTTCATCTGATTCAATATACATGTTAACTTCTGATGTTTTTTTTTTTTTTTCCACTAAGCACTGATAAAATTTATGGAGTGAACACATTTAAATACTTTCATCACAAGTCTTTTAAAAATGTAGACATATACAAAAATGAAGATAACAGAAATTATGGAAAGCTAAAAATATTTTTAAAGTTTTAGAATTTTAAGGCATAAAATGTTAAATATTTCAATGAAAAAGTTAACCTTTCAAAAATGACTGAGAAAAATTCTGATTTACTATTATTTTTAAAGTTTGGGCCCAAATATGATATAATATGGGAATATTTTGCTTTTAAATTATAAATTATGTTAGTTTTAATACATGCAAAGTATTTTCAAGTCTTAAATAGTTCATCAGGAAAATTTATCAAAATTCTGACTTACATTAAATTTTAGCAGAAATAATTCTTTTTCACATATGTCAAAACAATAAACAATAAATTCTTTAGTGTCTGGCACTTCCCATAGTTATTCTGTTTTCTTCATAAAATAGGATACAAACATGACTTACTTAAAATAGTAAAAACTTTATTTTTTTCATAACAAATAAAAGAGCCAAATATGACAAACTTTTCCAAGTTATAGACAATTTTCTAAGTGTTCATTAAAAACAAACTTAACTTTCAAATTCCCAAAATGCTGTACCCCAAATATAAGTTGGGAGCTCAAATCATAACATGTAACATTAAAAAACCTGTACTATAATAAGATGAATAAATAAACCTATACTGTTTCCCAATTCATAAAAAAATGACTAAATTAAAAGAAACCTATTATTCTTATTATAAATAACTAAAGTTCCCAAAATTCTTACTACAAATAAATTGATTAGAATACCTCTTTTAAATATCAGCTTTCCAAGTTTCTACGTAACTTAGCAATTACCTACCATATTTATTTGATTTCCAGAATATCATCATCATCTTGCCACTCACATAAATATGAGACAACAGAAGCATGAGTACTTATTTTTATAATTCATAAATCATCATTTCCCCATCATTATTGAACTTCATTTAAATTACTATAGGTCATCCTAAAATCTTATAATATAGATCTTTTTCAACCTTTACACTATACAAACACAAAACAGACCACCATTTAAGATGGTTACAAGAAAGGATTGCTGTGGTATCTCTGAAAATTCAAGCAAAAGATTTTAGAAAAGTGCTCAATCTGTTCACTGTTATCTCTTAACTATTACTAAAAATCATAGGAAATGCCACTGTTATAGAAAGGAGAATGGTGGACTTACAAAAGTCAATACAGGTATACACATAATTTATACATAATCAGCTTCTGATAATCTGAACAAATAAATGGACAAGGGACAACAGGTAGCAAAAAAAAAAAAAAAAAAAAAAAAAAATCCTCAAACCTTAGATTTTTTTTTCTTTCATGGTTTTTTGTAGTACTGGGGGACTAAACCCAGAGGCACTCTACCACTGAACTACATCCCCAGTCCTTTTTATTTTGAAACAGGGTCTCACTAAATTGCTAAGGCTGACCTCAAACCTGCAATCCTTCTGCCTCAGCATCCCAAGTAGTTAGGATTATAGGTTTGTGTCACCATACTTGGACAGATGTTTTTCTATCTGTATTTCATAAGACTATGCCTGAGAATTCAGAACATAAAGAAAATTAAGCCATGTTGCAAAAGGGGTATGCTCACAAATACAATTATTAAAACAATGATAAAAATGAAATGTCATTATTGGCTAGAATTTGTCATCTTCTGTTTATTTCTGATGGTGGCTCGAAGTTTACGTATTACCAGTCTATCAGGTAGAATCATATCACCCTGTTGTTCTAGATAATCCAATAAACTTTCAGTCCATTGAAGAGCAGCTGCATGATTTATATGTTTCTCTGGAATTAGTTCTATTTCCTCTTCCTCGTTTTCACTGGATTCATCTGTCTGACCTTGTGCTCTTCTGATGATTTCACTGTCAGTTAATACTTCATAGCCTGGTTCAGTACTGTCTATTTCAAGCCATTTTTCAATATTCTCAGTAGTCACATTTTCCAATCCTTTGGTATGCTGCAAAATGGTGGCCACAGTACCCACAGAAATATCTTCTTCATCAAAATCCAAGCCTTCTTTCTCTTCTACATGAGGAAGAATCTGTTTCCAAGCTCTGCTAATGGATACTGGTTTTATTAAGTTCCACGCCATTGATATTTCATAAAGTGCATCAAGCAGAGTTAGTTTCTTCCAGAATGACTTCAGGTCATTTCCTTCTTCCAAGTTGTTTTGGAGAAGACCAGCACGATAGTTTCTCTTCATTGCTGCTATAACTCCCTGATCCAAGGGCTGAATCAATGAAGCCACATTAGGTGGCAGATATTTGGCAAATATTTGGCCATCATCTGATCTTAAGACATTTTCATTTGGATGTGTTGGTGAGTTATCCAATAATAGCACAGCCTTTTCTTGCAAGCCTTTAGATCTTAAGTACTCTCGAACCTGTGGCACAAAAATCTTATCAAACCATTGTCGGAAAATGGAAAGATCCATCCATGCACCTTTTTGGCTGAAATAAGAGACTGGGAGGTTTAAAGTGTCAGTTGATTTGAAAGAGCGAGGTTTCTTTGCTTTGCCCACAACACAGAGTTTAAGTTTGTGTAAACCTGTTGCATTGGCACAACACATGATAGTGACTCTTTCTTCAACTGACTTGTGTCCAGGGATAGTGCATTTACCTTTGACTACTGAAGTCCTAGAAGGTAAGCACTTCCAAAAAAGTCCAGTTTCATCCGCATTGTAGATCTGTTCAGGGTGCAAATTCTCTTGCTCAATAAAATCTCGAAAACTATTACAAAAATCTTCCACAGCAGTCTCATCTCCATTTAATCTTTCATTTCTAATGTTAATCTCTCTAATGCTGTGCCGTTGCTTAAAACGAGTTAACCAACCAGCAGAGGGGTTAAAATCACCATCCATTCCCAAAGCATAAAAGAAGAACTCAGCCCTTTTTGCACAGATTGGTCCAGATATGGGATTCCCTCTAGCTCTCTGCTGGTTGAACCATTCCAGCATTGCTCTGTCCAGTTCCTCATACATGGATGGCTTCATAGACTTCCTCTTGGCCAAAAGACTTGTGGAATCAGAACTGCTTGCATAAGTTATAATCTTTTCCTTATTTTTCCTTATATCCCGAACTGTTGTTTCGCCAATTCCATAAATCACGGCCAGTTGTTTGGAAGAACCTCCGTCTTCAAGTTTCTTTATTATATCAAGCTTATCTTTAATAGTCAACACCACTCGCTTCCGTTTCCCTGACATAGTGAGACTCTAGGACTCACCCCGCACTCACACTGTAGTAGTCCACAAAATCCTTCCTTCTCTTGACTCACTTTAACGAAGTCTTAAACTCTGGACCTTTTAACCTTCTGAGAAACTTGGTAGCCCTGCCTGGGTTTAGCTGGCAAAGAGATGGCAAAGGAAGGTTTAAAAATAAGTTTGAGAAAGCAGGCCTTTAACTTAGATGGGCAGCAGAGGAGGCCCCAAGTCACCGCGGATAATCTGGATTACACACATGTGTGTTATCAAGCCAGCAGCAGGGAACAAGACTATAACCCCATCGTGGCCACAACTCTCCTTCACACCCAGGTCCCTGGTCACTAATCCCTGCCACACCCCAAAGTTAAGGCAGAGAGCGGAAGAGCGGGGGACTAGCCACCTTCCCCAGGGGAACGGTTTGATTCCTTCCCCAACTGCCGGGCCCTCCCGCCGCACAGCCCCACTGTCCCACGCCGGGTTTGGCTTGTGCAGTCCTCCCGGCCCCTCTCAGCCCGCCGAGCCCCTCTCCCACCTCAGTTGCAACCAGAACCCCGCACAGCTCCCTGAGTGCCGCGCAGTGGCCTCTCCTCCCCCGGCACACGCTCCCGGAAGACAACCCCTCCCGCCACCTGGCTCCGCCTCTTGCTCCGCCTAGAGGCGGGACTTCCCCTGGTACCCGGAAGCGGGTGGGCGCCTCTGCTATAGCGAGTGCCCGGGGCGGAGGCGGAGGCGGAGGCAGAGGCGGAGGCGCTTTGAAAGGTGAGAGCGCGAGGGCGGCGCGGGGCCAGCTCGCGGCGGGGACTCGCCCTTGCTCCCTCAGCTAATGGTATATTAGAAGGGCGGGGTTTACCGCGCCTCCCAGCCGGCCAAGAGTAAAATCCCCGCGGGCGCTGTTGGGTGGACCGGACGGCGCCCGTCAGTCCTTTGCTCTACCAGCCTTCCTCCTTTGCTGAGCGCTGTGGGCGCGGTGCCCGTTATTTCTGCCGAGAGGAAGTGCTCGGTCCGTAATTCGGGTACCGGCTTTTCCAGACCCTTGTTTGTTTTTTGGGTGCAGAGCCTCTCCGCGGTCTGGGGGTTTCTGTCCTCCGGCTCACGTCGTCGCGAATCTCTGAGGGTCCTGTTTCTTAGCTACACTGTCCCTCCCTCCTGGAGGTAGAGTGAACGCTCAAGTGAGCGGGCAGGCTGCACTGGGTGCATGCGTCCTGCCAAAGAGCCAGGTTTGTAATCGTGAGAATAACACTGATGTTAACTCCCGAGAGGATCTTTTTCCTCCGTCTGCCATTCTTCCGTGCTGGATTTAGCAAAGCACCGACAGTGTTGTGATTTTAATAAATGATATAGTTATCCTGGTTGCCAAGCTGGCAGAATCCACTCTGTGAAATTGTGTCGTGCTGGACTGTGATTCTAAGTGGGAGGAATTAGCATTCCTCTTTTTATGTGTTTCTTATTTTCCCATTTCTTATTTCTGTTGTGTTGTGCTGTCCTCTTTTCCAGCCAATGGAAGGACTATGATAAATTTATTCACACTGGTGTGATAAGAACTTAATCATACACTGTAGCCATCAAATCTTGTATTACGCTGACTTGTTTTTGGTGCCCCTAGTAATTTCATCAGATTGTGAGCTCCTTGGGAGCAGAGAGCATGTTTATTTTTTCCACTAATGCCACTGCTTTGAGCATGTGCTGGCATTTTGGTAGATACTTGATAATTGTTTCTTTGGTTTATTCATGTTTCCTCTCTAAACTGCCATAGAAAAGAAAACATCATGGAGAGGTGATGTTTTACAAATAAAAATGAATTCCTTCTGGTGGAATTTCAAATAATGGCCAGGGGTTTCACTGCACCTAAAATCTTAGTGTAAACTACCGCATATATTGTTCGTATAGCAAGTAGGTGATTTCTATACCGATTTTTTTCTTAAACTCTAGAAGAAAGAATATTTCTTCTGATGAGAAATGCTGTCATCACAGTACCTTTTTTAATCATAGAGTTACTATGAGAAAAACACAGGCGATATGGATAATTACCTTTATATTCTTTGACAGCATAGCTATGTACATGCATCTTACATAATAATAATTATGAAGCACAAAGATGTAATAGTATTTATCTTCTTCATTCGCTTATTTAATGCTTTCTGTTTGGAGTCTTTGTTTTTCTTTGCCTAAAGGTAAGGTATCATTACAGAAGCTTGATAAAATTCTCATTTCAAGAAATTGAGCATTTTTTCAGCCTACACAGAAATTATGGCCATTTGCATGGATTCTTCTTTGAGTAAATTCTAAAGATGTGTTACTCATCATCCCGGCTTTATCTTCTTATTTCTCTTCCCAGGTTCATTCACCTTTTCCCTCTGTCATCATTCTTCCCTTCCCAGATAATATAGTAAAGATATCCACAATTTTTAAAGGAGCCAACCATGTTCAAATTCTACTCTTCAACAATTTTTTACCTTATTGATATAAGTAGCAATTTTGAAATATGATAGATGCTGGCAATTTTGAAATGACCAAATGAAATGATTTATTTTATTTAAATGCGCCTCCTCAAGCAAATTCTGCAGTTTTCCAAAATAAATATTTTTCTCATGAGAGTCTCCCTTTCTTTGAAATTTATACTTTTAGGCTCTCTGAGTATTCCCTTAAATTTTGTGACCAGTTTCATCAATAAGATGATAGAGGGAAGTTTGCAAATTTTCATCTCTTTTGCACATTCTTTTCTTGCCTAATGGATAAATAATTTCCAGAAGTTTCTGTCCTAACTCATGTGCACTAAAATTCAGTTGGATAATAAAAAAGCATGTCTATAAACCGAAGCCATTCTGATGGTTATTTTCTGAAACTAAAATTTAGCATGAGTGAGAGATAAAATAATAATATATTAAAGGCTTCATTTTTACTACTTGTACAAATATGATATTGGCAGCAATCATTGTGTAGCACTGGACCGGGAATCAGGAGACCTGGTTTCTAATCCCTACTCTGTCACTAACAAGCTGTGTGATCTTGGTAAGTCATTTAAACTCTATGTCATTGGCTTTGATATTTATAAATGAAGAGAGAATTGTCTTCATAGGATCATTGTCAGAGTTGAAAAATAAATATGAATATATACTGAACATTTATAAATACACGGGGGTTTCTTTTAATGATACCTTAATGATGTACAGACATAAAGTGTCTTTATAATAGTGTGATGTTCTTCATCTTTTCTACAATTGTCAGAGGAATAACCTATTATATGATAAATAAATGTCTTTTGAGCATGTTATAGTTTTGTAAAATGGTCATCTAGTGTACTTGAATCTGCTTTGGATACTAATAAAAATCATCTTTCATTTTAATATTTTTTACTGTCCATGTTTGCTGTAGTGTAACTGTTGAACCCATATTTGTTATTTGTGATCATAAATGTTTTTTCATTATTTCTTCCAGTTAAGAAGTAAGCCTTTCTATTTAAGTAATAATAAGTAATGCTACATGTAGCATAATGCACATATGCCTATTTGGCTTATGCAAATTTAACTGTCTGTGCTTAAAAATACTTCTTTGTAGTCAATAGCTTCAAAAGCTGCCTTTTATCTAGTGTTTAACCAAAGAAACAGTAATCTGTTCAAAACTAGAAAAGAAACTAGGTAGACATTGTAAAGCAATGTGATATACACAAAACAATGCTTTGAAGAGCAAAATAAGCATTCTTAGAAAGGGTAATTTTGACCACACAAAATTTTTATCTTCACTGATTTTAATATAAGTCTTTTTTAAGATTTAATCCAAATGTACTTTCAAGTAGCATACTTTTGGTCTATAAAACAATATGATTATATCTTGTTTCAAGGTTCTACTTCAGCCTACACTGAATTTCTGGTATATAACACTATAAAGATAATTTCTGGTGTATAATCTTACAATCTCTGTTGTTCTTGATTTTATATGATTTTATATTTATTTATATGATTCTGATTTTATATTACCATTTTAGGCAGACATATTACCTTATAAATATACCAAAATTTATACAATCAAATGGGTTTTTTCCCCTCTCCAAAGTAATCATCTTAGGAAGCTATTAATTTGTTCTACTAATACTGCCATTGTTTTTTTTTTTTTTTTTTTTACTTTTCTGTTGTGGAATTGCCTTCAGAGTATGCCACACATTTTAAAAAGTCTTTAATGATAGTTATCTTTATCTTATGAAGATTTCATTTCTGGGGCTGGGGTTGCGGCTCATTGGTAGAGCACTCGTCTAGCACGTTCGAGGCCCTGGGTTCGATCCTCCGCATCACATAAAAATAAAATAAAGATATTGTGTCCATCTACAACTAAAAAATTAAATATTTTTAAAATAAGATTTTATTTCTGGAACCTACTAACAATCCTTTATAACTCAGACAAGTGAATAAAGTGGATGTTGAAACCACTCTTTGGAATAAACATTTTAGAATGATTAGTTTCATATTTTTTAATTTGTATTTTTTATAACTGGATTATAGAAAAACTCTAGTTATATTTTGTGCCATCATGGAAATATTGGAATAATCAGCTTCATAAGGTGATTTCTTCGAAGGGGATCACATTCAGTTGAATAAGTTCCAATACATTTATTATGACGTCTGTCTCATTACATTGTAATCATACTTCTATTGCTTAGCAACCACAGAAGTACATATAGGTTACTGATGTTCTAGTTATCTCACCTATCACTAATTGATCCTTTAATATATGCTTATGATAATTTTAGTGGAATTCACCCTTTTCTTAATCATATACTGACAGCTTTGGGGGTTTTTTTCTCCCATATCATGATCTGCTTCATTCTTAACCTCTTTTGTTTTTGACTTGACTTGACTTGACTTCATTATTGATTGTTAGTACGTTTTCTGTTGGATTACACTGTATCTTTGAGTGGTTTAAGACCATTGCCATTTTACTAAGGTTTGTAGAAGCTACAATTTTAGGTGATAGGATGTCTCAGTATTGCACTGTCTTTTATGTCTATTGCTACTTTATAAATTTCTTCATGTCAGTTGATCCTATATAATTCATGTTATTTCTCTGTTCAGAAACCTTTACATTCAGGATGAATAATCCTGGTAATTTCATTTCACTTTTCTCTCCTTTTTTCCAAACTGAACAGACTGGAATTTTCTTTTTAAATACCCTTTTCATACTCATTTACTGAACATAATGTGTTCTTTATTAATGCTAAAGTTTTACCCTTACCATTTTACCTGCCTGAAATTCCTTTTTTTTTTTTCTCATTCTTTCTTTTCAGATATAACCAATCCTTGAGAATTCTGTCTGATCACATACATTTGTTCAGGATAATCTTCAGTAAATCATTTGCCCTTTTACCTCACTGCATCTTTACATGACCATCATAGTTATTTTTATTACTTGTTGGGTAACTGAGTTATCTTGAATTTTTCTTAATTACATGTTTCTGTTAGTTTTATACATGGATAATAATTTTTTGAAGGATACAGGACCATGATTTTTCTATGTATCACTTATCACAACATATATCATAATTCAGAACAGATGGTAATACAGTTATTTCATAAATATCAATAAATTATTTGTTGAATGATTATTCTGCCATCTTCACTCAGATATTTCATGTGATTTTACCTTTTGACCATTTAATAAAGCCAAATAAATTTAATTTCATTGCCTTAATCTGGTTATTGTTATTATATCCCCAATAACTTTATTTTGTAGAAGCTTAAGTGAAAATGGTACATGTTAGAAGACATGAAACAAGGAAAAATTCTAAAACTCAAGTGCCTGAGCAAAAATCTCGAGTTGATTGGCGGCGGACTAAAAGAAATAGTATCTCACAGTTATTTGATAGTGATGAAGAGTTTGATAGTGATGAGGAACTTGATAGTGATGAACAGCTTGATAGTGATGAAAGTGTTGATAATGATGAAGAACTTGATAGTAACAAGGGGCTCGATAGTAATAACACACCAGAAAATGAAAGAGTGCTTAAACTAATCAAAACTGAAAGTGAAGGAAGCAGCAGTAAGCATGTCATTAACACTGGCAACAGTTCAACATATGAAGAAGAAATTAACAAAACCAATCATAGGAATATTGACTTGACAGATCATGAAAAGCACTTGAGTCAAGAAGAGAAGGATCTCAAAAAACATACTGTACAAATCATAGATGAGGATTTAGAAGAAGAACACATCAAGCGAGTGAAAAGAAAAAGGATTTCCTCTGTGATGTATGACAGTGATGAGAGTGATGACAGTGATATCCTAATTAGAAAAGTAGGTGTTAAACGTCCACGAAGAGTGGTTGAAGATGAATGTTCTTCAGTGGAAATGGAGCTAAAAAACCCTGAGAAATCATTAGCTACTCGAAAGCGAGAACAACTCCAGAAGTTGAAAGAACTCTCAAAACAAAGATCTCGCCAAAGACGCAATAGTGGTAGAGATTTTGAGGTGTGTTTTATTTTGTTGGTTTTGTTATTTTTTTAATTTTTTATTGATTTAAATTTTATGAAATCAAAGTACTGAGTCTGTTCTGTTTCTCAGTAAGTCTAGAATTTATTTTTAATCAAATATCTTTGATATTGTTTGTACTCACATCTAATATATTGTTTAATCATAAGCCCTACTACCTCACTGTTTTTTAAAATGAAAGACTATTTGTTGTTTTGTATGGTCTTTCCTGTTCTTCACTGCTTATATTCTTAATGTTTAAACATTTTACATCACCTCAGCAAGGTATAGTCTTCCTTAGAGTTCAGCATATAACATGACAAATTTAATTTTAACTTTAAAATATGAACTTAACTCTGTGGATCATTTTTTGCTCTCAGATTTAATCTTTTAATTTCATATCTATCTAGGTATTTTAAAGCCACAATTTACTGAATCATTTATTTTAATTTAATTAGGACTCTGAAAAGGAATCCTGCCCAAGCAGTGATGAAGAGGAGGAGGAGGATTCTGAATATGATGAAGATGGAGATAATTATATTATTGATGACTTTGTAGTACAAGATGAGGAGGGTGATGAAGAGAATAAAAATCAACAAGAAAAAAAATTAACTACCTCTCAATTGAAATTAGTAAAACAGAATTCTCTTTGTAAGTTAAATACCAAGATATTTTTATGACTTGTTCTAATCATTATAGTGTATCAAGCATCAAATCAACCTTTTTAATATCATGTTATAAACCACTGATTAGGAACTGTGGTTTCATTTTTAGATATCTTAAATTTGTTAGTCCAGTATTTTATTCTTGTGGTCTTAAGAACTCTTCACTCTTAAAAATTATTGACCTCTGCCAGGTGCAGTGGTACATGCTTGTAATCCCGGCAACTCAGGAGGCTGAGGCAGGAGGATTACAAGTTTGAAGCCAATCTCAGCAACTAGTGAGACCCTCAGTAAGTAAGCAAGCCCATCTCAAAATAAAAAATGAGAAGGATAGGAGATATAGTTCAGTGGTAAATCACTTTTTAGCACTCCCACCCCTAAAAAAATGACCCCATAAGCCTTTATTTCTAGTGGGCTAAGTCAATATTTTACCATTAGAGAGATACAAAATTTAGAATTTTAAAATGTATTTATTAATTTATTAATTTAAAATAACATTACTAAACTCATTACATTAACAGAAATAACATTTTGTGAGGAGTAACTATTTACAGAAATGAGAAGAATAGCAGTTGTACATTCTTGCAAATACTTTTTTATGTCTAGCTTAATAGAAAGCAGCGGGGTTCTTACCTCTAATTTTAATTCAGTGTGTTGTAATATGTTGTTTTGGTTGAATCACATGAAGTTTTACTTCACATGGGTAGCTGAAAAAGGGATGAGTATTTTAATAATCATTTAATTCGTCTGTCTTGCAATTTGAATAACTTTTTTACCCAAGCATAATTTTGCAATATAATATTTTAGTCATTTAGAAGATACGAGTTCACTAGGTACTACAGATCCTTCAGATGCTAGCCCATTTTATTACATAATTTTTTTAAAATTCACCTTCACTGATATCACTATCAATCTCATCAGAATAGTGCTATGGTATTGTAAAGCTGTCAAGTTCAAACTAGCTCAGACAAGTTTCTCAAAATTCTGACTTCTACCTAAAAACTTGATTTTTATCATTGAAAACAAACCCTGTGAGTTGTTCTTGAAGTGACAAGCTCATTGTTTGGTTGTTTTGTTTTTTTGTTTTTTTGTTTTTTGAGAAAATGTCTGGTAGATACCCAAGTTTGAATAATCATATTTTGTCAAGCATTGTTTCAGTTAAAAATGGTGTTTCAAGATAAATTATGCCTTGCCCCATCTCAAAGAGTTGCACAGTGTTTTCCCTTGAAATAAGCATCGTAGTTTAGTATATGATATGAGTGCTTTATGTGTACTCCCCATTTTATTTAATAGAGTACTAAAAAGATATATACTTAATTGTGAAGTGTCCCATTGTTCTGGATTATATATCTAGAAGGTGATAAAATATTTGCTGAAAAATACCTGAGCATATCTTCTCCTGCTAATTAATGGAAATAAAAGTCCAACATGTAGGAACTATAACTTCCTTCTCTATTCTACATTTCTGATTTTTGTTTTAATGACTTCCTTCTTTACTTGTTTTCATCTTAATGGTAGGTTGTAATTTACAGAAATATTAAGTGGAGAGTACAAAGAGTTGACCTATATTCCCTCACATGCAGTGTCACCTATTATTAACCTCTTGGATTAGTTTGACACCTTTGTAATAGTTGATGAGCCAGCATTGATATAGTATCATTGAGTGTAACTCACAGATCACATTAGGACTCTGTGTTGTACTTTCTTTGAGTTTTGACAAATGTATGACATGTATCCACCATTACAGTATCTTACAGAACAGTTTCATTATCCTAACAATATCCTATATTTATCCCTCCCTTCTTCCCCTGAACTCTTAGAAACCACTGAGGTTTTCTTTTTTTTTTTTTTTTTTTGGGGGGGGGGGGTTTGGGGGGGTCTTCAGTTTTGCCTTTACTAAATTGTCACACAGTTGGAATCATGTAGCCTATAACTTTCCATATTGGTTTCTTTCACTTTACAGGATGCATTTTAAGTTCCTCCATGTCTAATCATGGCATGTTAGCTCATTTTTTTTTATATCTGAATAATATTCCATGTGTGGATTTACAACAGTTTAGCCATTCACCCACTGAAAGATATCTTGGTTGCTTTCATGTTTGGGCAATTATGAATAAAGCTGCTATAAACATTTGTGTGCAGATTTTTCTCTGAACATAAGTTTTCACTTCATTTTGAATCAAGGAGTTCTGGGCTCACTTTTAGTACTAAGCATCTCTGCTTTGGGGGAAAATATATCTGACTTTTTATGCAATATATTTTGTGAGTTCTTAATTAAAACTTCTACTTCTGTCATATACTTAGTTCTCCTTATATTCAATGATTTTATCTTTATAAGCAGATTGACCTCACTTGTAACCATATTCATGCCTTTCCCCCCTTGAGTTAGTATATTCCACTACTCATTCAATACTCTCTTACCATTCTGTTACATGTTTCCCAGTAAAAATCAGACTCCTGCAGTATAGTAAAATTACTCTTACTGAAGTTGTTGTTAAACTTTTCTTTACCCAAATGCTCTTCAGTTATTTTATTAACCTAATATTGCTGTGCTGTTTGCTACCATTGGCCACTGTCACTTTCAGGTTGCTCTTCTATTTTTACTTTCTGTGGTACCACTCTCTCCTGGCTTCCCTTGTAATATTATTTTCTTTTCCATTTGCCATGTAAATTTTGATGTTTTCAGGTATTCCATCCTCAACTACCTTTGTTTTGCTTGTGCTTGGAAAGACTCCTCATTACTCCAATATGTAGGAAAAAATTCCCAAACTTTTATTGCCATGAAAGATTTCTGAACATAAGTCACAAATTTTTATCATTTTATTGTCCTTTTTTTAACCAGGGTATCTTTCAGAGGTCTCAGATTCAATGTGTATGAAACTGAACAATTGAGATGTATTGTAAAGGAGTTTAGTATGGAGGAACAGCTGTTGTGGTGGTTACATAATTTTATACATTGTTCAGAACTGTAATCAAAAAAAGTTTTTGATGTGTAAAATCATAAAGCCCAATCAAATAAGGCAAGTGGGTGTCCCCACTTCCAAAAAATAAATAAATAAAATTGATTGGTTAACCAACCTCCCTGTCTTCATATTCCCAGTACCTTTGGGACTTGATGACACATAGAAACTCATTATTAGTTGAGTGATTAAGATAAGTTGAGTGATTAAGTGATTGAAGACTCTTGAGTTTTATAATTCAAGACTCAGGTAAATATTGAACATGACCATATTTTTTCAAAATCAGACCAAAAAAGCCCCATATTTTAGGGTGATAATTTTTTTTCTTTCTTTTTTTCTTTCTTTCTTTTTTTTTTTTTTTGGAAGCAGAGTCTCACTAAGTTGCTTAGGACCTTGCTAAGTTGCTGAGGCTGTTTTGAACTTGTGATCCACTTGCCTCAGTTCTCCTAAGCTGCTAGGATTATAGGCATGCACCAGCATGACCCACCTAGAATGATACCTTCTGTTTTAATGTTTTTTGTACTTATTAGTTTTAAGCCATATGTGAAGATAATAAAATTTAATATAAGCAATTTTCAATTTGCTAAGGGGTTATTTTCTGATAGTTACTATAAATTCTTATAAAATCAAAAATTTATTTTCTCATTAAAACAATAACCAATGTAGTGAATAATGAACACCACTTTGTGGCCGGGGGAAATTGTAATTAAGCTAATATTCCCAGTTTAATTCTGTCAACTTTTATACAACTTTTTTATACAACCAACCATTCATATTTAACATATGATAAGAATTTGAGCAAAACATTTCCTAACTCCACATTGAGTATGCAATTTGAGGATCACTATTAGTGGTTAGTTCGGTTTTGCCTTTTGAAGTGAGCAGTCAACCTATAGGAAGATATTTTGTCATTTTCTCACTACCTCCCATTTGGCTCTGAGAAAAATATTTCCTAACTTGAAGGGTTTTGAACAATTTATTAAGACATTAAAGCAAAACATATAGTTCCCAACTTAAATGGTTTTGCCTAAGAATTTTTGACTCAAAATAGTGTAATTTCCTCCTTGCTACATGGTTGAAGTTAGAGACAGTTATAGTCTTCTTCCCTTCTCATCAATCCCTATTAGTTTATTCTGAGACTGCAACTCCCAGAAAAGATAAGGTGGAAAGGAGAGGGGCAGTTGTCCATTGCATATCAGATCTGTATATTCACACACTGAAAATATTATACACAGGGAGGAAAATAGGAAAAGAATTCTGATCTGTATATATAAAATCTATATCCTATCATATATTTAGATCAACAGAACCTCATAAAGATGAGAAGATTACATTTTGGTTTACTAGTGCCTTGCTAGAATATTGGAAATTAGACTAAATGAACATCAACTTCATCCCCATCTAGCAATTAAAGAGAATCACTCTATCACCACAATAAAGAATGGGCCCAAGAATCACAAGTATCACAACCACTTATGTTAAATATTAAATCTTAGATCCCCTGCCTTGTTCTATAATAAGCAAAAGATACCAATGAAATCATGTTGGGGCAGTTACGGTAAACTCAGAAAAAAATTACCATGAAAAATGTTTTATTAAAGGAAACAGAAGAAGATTGCTTTGCAATCTAATGTAAAGCAGTAGAAAGTCATAAGGAAAGCCTGATTTTAAGTAAAAGGGAACTGGCTAAGACAAAGAATTCCCAGAAAATTCAAAGTGTAAAGTCAGAAATAAAATCTATATTGGAAGCAGTAAAGAACAGAATTAACAGTACTGAAAATCATATCAATGATACATAGGATAAATCTGAGGTGTTCTAATGTAGAGAAGAAAAAGTTATGAAGAAGATTAAATTCCTAGGGGTATAGTATAATGCACAGATAAAAGCTTCAAGTAAGAAAATTTTATAACTTTAATGAGATATGTAAAGAAAGATTTGGCGGGGACAGGGGCTGAGGGTAACCAGGGATTGTGAACACAGGAGTACTACTTAACCACTGAGTCACATCCCCAACTCTTCCTATTTTATTTTGAGACAGTCTCTCTTAAGTTACCTACGGCCTCACTAAATTGCTAAGTTTGGCTTTGAACTTGCAATCCTTATGCCTCTGCCTCCCAAAGAGCTGAGATTGCAGGCATGCGCCACTAAGCCCACCATAAAGGAAGATTTGAATGTATTAAACATTATACCATATTTTTAGATGAGAAAACATAAGATACGAATTCAAAGATAAAATATTCTGGAGTTACTTTCATAACACATAATAGGTGTTTTTTTCAAATTAAAAGAGGCTCACATTCCTGATAAATTGATGAAAATACTTTGCATATTGATTTATGAAAGAACTATTTTTTCCAATTACAAGAATAAAGAAAACACCTCTAGCCATTCTTTTCAGAACTATAAAAATAATTTTAGGAATCATGAATATGTTGTTAAAATATTAAAAGAGGAAAAATCATAATTTGTTGAGATTATAGAAAGGCATTTAATAATATTAATTCCCATACATGCTTTTTCATAAAAAAGCAAGTATTTAAAAATTAGTAATAGAAGAACATGTCCTTTACATGACAGTGTTTTAAATCAAGAGTTAACATCATAGTATAATGAGTCAGTAGTTAAAATGAGGAAGATAAAAGTATTTCCTAACTTGAAGGGTTTTGAACAATTTATTAAGACATTAAAGCAAAACATATAGTTCCCAACTTAAATGGTTTTGCCTAAGAATTTTTGACTTTAAGGTAGTGTAAAAGCCATATGCATTCAGTATAAACCTTTTAATTTTCATCTTTTTCCAGACTACTGATATGCAATATGAAACACTCTTGAGATGCTGACCAGGGTAAATAATATAGTGTACTATAATAGGCAAGTTAAGTGTATTCTTGTTTTTTGATGTTTTGTTTTTGTTTTTGTCTTTTCATGGGGCTGGGGATTGAACCCAGGACCTCAGTTATACCTCTATCCCAAGTTAGGATTGTTAAGTGAATTTCAACTTAACATTTTTAACTTAAAAATGAGTTTATTAGGATGTAACCCCATCATAAGTCAAGGAGCATCTGTATTGAAAAGATATTATTTGAATGTAGTAAGTTTAATGTGTATATACAAACTATAAGTTTCTAACTTACTTAACCAAGGCTACAGAAGTTAAGAGAAGGAATATGAATATTTTGAGAGCAGGAGTAATGTCATATATCTTTCTATAGTTTTCTTCAGATTCCTTTTCCCTACATACAGGGTAGGGGAATTTTTTTAGAGTAGAAAAAGAAGTCGATTTCTTTTTCTGCCTCTTTTTTTTTTGGAGAGAGAGAGAGAATTTTTTAATATTTATTTTTTAGTTTTTGGTGGACACAACATCTTTTATTTTTAATTTTTTTTAATGTGGTGCTGAAGGATCGAACCCAGTGCCCCACGCATGCCAGGTGAGCATGCTACCGCTTAAGCCACATCACCAGCCCTCTGCCTCTGCTTCTTATACTGGGCTTATACCTCCATTCCGGAAGAAAGTACATCAACAATCACTATGCTTCTATCTAAGGGAATATTTATAAACTTTCTTTTGGTTCTTGAAATAGTAGTAAGAAGAATAGGGTTGGGAGAGACAGCAAAGACAATGCCCAAGAATCCCTTAATTGTATCATCTGCAGCTCTATAGTATCAGAGGAAGCTCATCTCCCACAAATATCCAAGAAAATCTGACCACTTTGAAATGAGTAAAAGATTTTAGAAAAATAACCAGATTCCTAATAAATGTGTAAAACTCAATGGTTTTCTTATATATAGCAATAAATATTCAGAAGACATGATCAGGAGAAATTCCATGTACTGTGACAACCAAAATAAATTTTCTGAGTCTAATCTCAAAAGCTTGGCTTTATAGGTACAAAAACAAACCCTACTATGAAATAGAAAAGAAAACATGTATAAGTGGGAAAATAAGCATGGCTCTGAAAGGTGCTATACATAACACAAGAAGTTATTCTGAAATTAATTTTTGGTTCAGCTTTACCAAACAATCTTGAAATTCACTTGGAATAACAAACCCATGAGAATAAATAAATTTTAAAAACAGTAAATTTAAAGAATTTTCCTTACCAGATATAAAAAATTATCATAAAATTGCAGTAAGTAAAACAGTGTATTACTGGCCTGAGAATGATAGCCAGAGCAGTAGGAAGGGCACATGGTGCTGAAACAAAGTCCTAGCCTGTATGTGAAATTAATGTATAACAAATTACACATGGAAACCACCAGAATATTAGATTATAAATGTGAAATGATGAAACTGGTTAACTACTTTAGAAAAATCAAATTATGCATAAACACAAATATTATTGATTTTCTACTTATTTTTTCCAGTTTTTAAAATTATGGGGTGCAGAGGGGTCTGTGGCTTAGTGGTAGAATGTGAGCTTAACATGAAGGAAGCCCTGGATTCAATTCCCAGCACCACCAAATAAACAAAAACAATAAAATTATCACTGGGGAAAGTTTTTTAGCAATATTCCTAGAATATTGTTCTGCCTCTAATTATGTAAATTTTGATGTTATTTATTACACATTGTTTTTTCTTAATTTTAAGAAAAGAAATTTGAATGTTATTTTCTTCAACTTTCTACCCAAGCTTAACTTCTGTATTCTGAAATATCAAATCAGTCTACCATGAATAACAATATCTACCTGAAATCTGGAGGCAGACACCCTAGGTTCCAGCCCTTGTTCTAATACTTACCAGCTGTGTGATCTTGAAAAATTTTTCATCCTCTCTGTATTTCAGTTTCCTCAGAGGCTTATTGTGAGAAATAAGAAAATTCATGTAAGTGCTTAGAATGATGTCTGGCATGTACTTGCTCTATAGTGTTATTATTTTTCAATTTAAGATGCCAGAAAAATCATCCTACCAACACCCTGCATCCACTCAAAACATAATGAAGTCATGGCCTTCTTCCTGGCCTTTTTGAAGGTGATTCTGATTGCCATTGATAGGAGAGGTGATGGTTAGGGAAAAAACCTCTCAAGGTGATTAAGGTCTTTGAAATAGAGTGGCAGTTCAGAGCATTAGCACATTCAACACTGATAAATTCAGTGGGGTAAAAAATTCTATTGCTGTTTGATAGTTAAGCTTAGGTTCAGAGGGATTGAATTTTATTTTCCTTAATATATTTTGGAAGTGTAAAATAGAGTTTAGGTGACTTTTAAAAAATTTTATCTTGAAACAGGGTCTGGCTAAGTTGTTCAGGCTGGCCTCAATTTTGCAGTCATCCTGCCTCAGCCTTCTGAATAGCTGGAATGGAAGGCATTCAGTGATAAATTTTAATGCAAATAAAATTGCATACCAACTCTATTCTATATTCAGAGTCTGATGAAAATCTAGTAAAAGTTGAATCCTTTTGAAGTACTACTATATTTTATTTCCCAATTATGCTCTACTGATCTTTAAGAAAATACTATAGTCAGTAATTACCGCGATTACTTCTGTTATAATTGACAGTAATGATAGTTACTTTAAAGTCTAAGGGTTTCTGTGAAAATTACCTGCTATTGCTATTTACTTTTATTACTATTTTATTTAGTCACTTTTGTACTTCCTATAGGTGTCTCCTTAGGAAAAATGCATTCTAAAATTTCCCCTAAAGCCTGAAAAAGTTATACAGCCCTTTTAGAAACCAAAATTTAAGTATAAAGTTTCTTCCATGTTGAATTCCATCTTTTTTTCATTTCAACCAGAAGGAAAGTCAAAATTCATGGTTGCCAACAATAGGTCTTATTGTAATTTAATCTCTTATAAACATCTTTCACATTTCCAGAAATACTCAGACTGCCCTTAATATGTCTTCACAGGTGCCCAGAGCAGTGCAAATGTTCTGTAATGAACATTCAGGATCAAAAAACAGGTTACATTTAATATAGAACATTGCCACACCCCATAGTAAACCCTAAATCCCAAAATAATAAGAATAGAATCACTGTCTGGCCTGTTACAACATGTGATTTCATGTATGAAACTTGGTTAGTGATAAAACATGCTTATATAGCTGGCATGAGAAAGAAAAGACACAACTTTTATAAATTTATGTGAAAAATCCCAAATCTGAGACAGTAGTAAGGGAAATGGAGTTTTATAGCCATTGTGGTTCTGGGTAGGGTATCGGTTTCCTGAATGATATTATACGTAACATGTTTTACAGACTACAGTGTATTAAACAATCTATTTTTGGAGACTTTGTCTCCTGCTTTCTCATACCAGTTGTCCAATTAATAATTAAACTTAAGGGGCTGGGGCTGGGGCTGGGGCTGGGGCTGTAGCTCAGTGGTAGAGTGACTGCATTGCATTCATGAGGCACTGGGTTCGATCCTCAGCACCACATAAAAATAAACAAATAAAAAAAATAAATAAATGCATTCTGTCCAACTACCAAAAAAAAAAAAAACTTTAAGTATCAAGGGTATGATTTTTACTTTTTTCATAATATGTCCCCTAAAATTCTCAGAAAAACTTTCCCTTTATACATTTGGTAAATTTTGAAATTACATTTATAAACTTTGAATTAGAGGCCAGTAAATTTGGAAAATGGAGGCCTAGTGACTACACAAGTCGGTAAGGCAGCTGTAAGATGATTACGCTGTTTCTGCTATAAATAGTATTGATTTCTTAGCATTAGAGAAGGAACCTATTATATTCAAGGAATTATTTTATTTACTAGATTCTAATATTTATTTTAAATTAATTTCAGATTCTTTTAGTGACCACTATACTCACTTTGAAAGAGTTGTGAAGGCCCTTCTGATTAATGCTTTAGATGAATCTTTTCTGGGATCATTGTATGGTAAGTTTATAGATAAATGGAACAACTTTATTTTTAATTTTCCCATTTTTTTAAACACTATCACTTTTAAAACTTGATTAAACAAAACTAAGGATAACCATTTTTAAGGCATAAAAATTGTTCCTTCTAGAATGAATTATACCAAAAATACATTAATTTTAAAAGCTTGTTATTGTTTGTTATTTGAGATATTTAGTAGATAAGTTTGTGACAGGTCTTTGCCCTGAAAGAGTTTACAGTGAATTTAAGGATATGACATATAAAACAGAAAGGTGCCTGAACACCCATGTGCTCTCCTAGCTTAAGTTCTTTGAATTTCACTGACAGTTATATGTTATTTTATACTTTTGTGCCTTTGTCCATGCTGTTGCTGTTACTTTTTATTTCAGATTTTCTGAGTGTAAAAGCATTCTACTATGGAGGTTATCTGTGACCCACAAAAGTGGTACTTTTCACTCTCTTATCTCTTATGGTAGAACTCATCATGTATTTGCAACTTTTTTGTATTCTATTTAAATATATTTTTCTTTTTTCCCCTACCAGAGTATGAGAGGAACTATATATATACTCATATTTTGCACTCAGCACAGAATTCTTTTTTTAATAGACTATAAGTATGTTGTGTTGAAAACCTACCTATGTGCCAAAATAAGATTTTAGTAATAGTTTATGGAATAAATATTTATTGAATGCCTACTATGGACCAGGCATTGTTTGAGAGTATAACTGCTAATACCCCTAGGGGGGGAAAATGTTTCCACAACAACTAGAAGGCCTGTGTAACTAGAGTGGGATGAGTTGGGGGAAAGGGAGATGAGTTCAGAAGAGTAGATATGGCATAGGTGGACTCTGTAAGCCATGTTTGTAAGGTACGGTTTGAATTTATATTGACTTAAAGAAACATGATAAATGTATTAGCTAGATTCGTTAAGAAAACATCAGTTCCTCTCTAAACAAATAGAAAATATTTTATGAACCAAATCAGGAAAACAGAAATGAGTGTAACAACTAAAAGGGAATGAAGGAAAGGACTAATCAGAAAATCAGTTCTGATTTGTTGGTACAGGAGTTACCACTGGATCAGTAGGAAGGCACCAATGTCAGAGGGCCTTGAAAGCCTAGTCAGAACTTTTTTGAGGTTTTTTTTTTTTTTCCTCAAGTTCAGTGGTTGATCCATGTTAGTTTTCTAAAGATGAGAATAAAAGAAGTAATTTGGTAGGCATTTTCACCTGGCTATTTTTTAAGAGTATATTTTTATTTTTTTATACATTTTATTTTTTCATTTATTTTTATGTGGTGTTAAAGATGGAAGCCAGGACCCCACACCTGCAAGGCGAGCACTCTACCGCTAAGTCACAACCGCAGCCCCTGGCTCTTTTTTTAATTAGAAAATAATGTAAAAGTTTGATGTTTATAAGAAGAAAAATTGAGCCTTTTACCCTGTTTTCTTGCCCTTATGCTTGGATTTTTTTTTTTACCCTATTACATTTTTTTTTTATAATTCAAAGTATTTCCAACCAACTAATCAGCCAACCATCCATCTTTCTAAAACTATGGAAAGAGATCCTTAAATGTACAATTGCTTCAATATTGTATGTAGAAAAAGTGATTGTTTTATTGTTGTTGTTGACCCCCTAAACAGATGGCACCAGGCAAAAATCGTATGCACAAGATATGTTGACATCTCTTCATTATTTGGATAATCGCTTTGTTCAGCCCCGCCTAGAGAGTTTAGCTTCTAGAAGTCGTTGGAAAGAGCAATATAAGGTATAATTTGTTTTTAATCTTGGTGGGGGGGGATAGGACCTCTCAAGTCAGTGGGGTATGTAGACCTCTCAAGATTTCAATTTCCAGTCAGATGGAATAGTCTTCTAAAGTATTGGCATTTCTCTTTTTTGGGTAATTCTTTTCTAAAGGCTGTTATTGTTTTAATCATCCACACTATCTAATCTGTTCAATAATTAGATGGTTTTAAATGATAACAACTTTGGAACATCTCTAGGGCTTAGCCTATCTTTTAAAACCAGGAGATTGTCTCACACAATGTTAATTGTTATTTCAGAAGAGATAGTTCTATAGACAGATAACTTTGAGAAACAGTGGTTTAATTTACACTGGTTTCAGCCAGATATGGTGGTGCATGCCTGTAATCCCAGCAGCACAGAAGGCTGAGGCAGGAAGATCTCAAGTTCAAAGCCAGCCTCAGCAAAAGTGAAGTACTAAGCAACTCAGTGAGACCCTGTCTCTAAATAAAATACAAAATAGGGTTGGGGATGTGGCTCAGTGGTTGAGTGCCCTGAGTTTGATTGCTGGTTACCGAGCCGCCCCTCCACCCAACCCCCACCCCCCCAAAAAAAATCTTGTTTCTTTACTGGAGGACTTTATAGGAGCACTAACATTTGAATTTGTACTGTATATCTTCAGTGGGGAGTTTAGAATGCAATGCTTCCACATTTGTGTTTTACTATGAGGTTCCTTTGTATGAAATACAAAATGGATGTTTGATTTTCATGAAACAGTTTGAAAAACATTGTCCTACATGGTGTTTGACATACTTGTTTATCTTAAATTTTGTTATTCTACCAATTTGGGGGATTCACCTTTTTAATTTATAAGATTTCCTGGATTCCATATTATTTTCTAGATTTCTTGCATATAATCTCTAATAGTAGAAGATATACCACATGATTTTTCAGGGTCTTTATATTTCTACTTCCAATATTCTATGATCTAATGTTTGTCAAGAAGGAAAATGGTAGATAATGGAAGTTCAAGTCCCTTAAAATACCTCTAATACTTTAATCATTAGCTACCTCATTTATCAGAAGATGTGGTTCCATGCAAGGCCTGTTCATTCTTGAATTACATGATGACAAATTTGCCATCGATGCTTAAGTTTCAGAGATGGCTATGGGATTACAGGATTAGGAGACTTCAAGTTAGAGGATGGCTTGAGTTTAGGGTCAGCATATATATATATCTTTTTGATTTGGGGTAAAGTTTTAACCTCTCTGAGCCTGTTTTATCCTCAGATATGGAAAATGTTTACCTACTTTGAAGGGAAATATTCACTTACTTTGAAGATAAAATGTATAGCAGAGCTTTTATAATATGCATAAAATTACTTTAATAGAAAGAAAATAGTATATATTTCTAGAACATTTATCTTTTACCAAGTAATTTACATGGAAAGTAAACTTATTTAATCTTCAAAGAACCATGTAAGGAAGTCACTGTTTTTCTCCTAAATTTTACAAATAAAGAAACTGTAACTCAGAAAAATTAAATAACCTAAGATTTTACAGCTAGTACTTTATACAGGCCAACATTTAAACTTATAGTCAGACTCTTAAAACCCATACTTTTATGCCACATTATGCTTTACTATACTATGATAGATTATAGTGAATTTATACCACCCCATGCTAAAGTAACTGTCAGATGTGCAAAAATATTATAGACAGATAATTCAGGAAGATCATAAAATGAGCTGAGTTATACTGTAAAAGATAAGAAATAATAAACAAAATAAACAAATAATAAAATCACAATACTTTAGCCCAACAAAGTTTGTCACTTATATGTCCAATGTGAGTCATCAAGAGTTCTCTGCTCATTGCAGTCACTCAGAAAATCAAAATGACAGAGCTTTCAACTCACGTTTCATCTCAGCATGTGTGTGCTTCCATGAGTACCACAAACACAGGAAGGAAAGGTGGTTAGTCACGTATTCAGTCTGAATTTCCGCCTGTAAGTGACAGGTCAGAAAGTGTTGTGAAGTATGATAAATATGAAAGTTAAACAAAAACAATGTTTTAAGTGTATTAGAAACTTAATTACCATTGACTGGTAGAAGATACATATGTATATTAGTAACCATGTAAATATGCTCATGAGTGCATTTCAAATATTGTAGTAAAACCTAATATACATTACTAATTAGAACAGTAGTGTCTAACACAAACCTAGGTTATAAGCATAATTACTCAGGTTTAAATAACTTCACAGCTTAAGGAAGCTTATTTTTGCACACTAAGTGTTTTCTCAGTCTTTTACTCATTAAATAATTCCAACTATTAGACTGTTCTTATCAGTATTGGACAAGTAAAAACCTTAGTTCCTATGTGATTATTTTCATAAGACTATAGCAAGTAACCATGAGAGGATTAAATCATTTCTTGAATATTTTGTGGGAATATGATATAACTCATATAATGGAGAATGGATTATTTTTTTCTCAATTTTTATGTAGCTTAAATTAACTCATCTTGTTCTTATCCTGATTTTATGCTGCTCATTTTTTCTTATTTTTAATACCTTATTGATGTTAATTAGAAATAAAAGGTAGAAAAGAAGTAAATTAAAATCCATTGAGAACAATACTTCATACACTAAGTAGTAACTCATAAAAGAGATAAGAAACATTTTTTTCCTAGTCTTGACTATTTTTTTTAAGAGCCAGGACTAAAAATTCATGTTTAAGCGACTGGAATAGTAGTAGAGCCCGTGCCTCATATGCAGGTAGCCCTGAGTTTGATCCCAGTACTGAAAAAAAAAATTATTCTTTCATTTAAAATTAATACCAACTCTGTGCTCAGTATTAAGAAATATCAGTAGATTTTGCTCTTATATTTTGATTTCTAAGATATATTTAATTGGGTTAATTCTTATTTTATTTTAAGCTCCCTTATATTTTTTAATTGTTTTCAGGAGCGGGTAGAAAATTATTCTAATGTGAGTATCCAATGGAAGAATCCTGAAAACTGTTCCTGTCAGGCTTGTGGATTGCATCGCCACTGCAGATATTCAGTGCATTTATCAGGAAAGTTGTATAATACCAGGACTATGGAAACAGATGATTTTATGTCACATGATAAACAGGTATTTTTTATCTTACTTTGGTTTTCAATGCTTAGAAATTTCAATGCTTATCAGTTCATAAATTTTCACAAATAACCCTAAGTAATTTTCACATAGAGAAAATACTAGAAGGAAAAAGAGTGCAGGTTTTTTTAATGTGAAAATATGTGTTATATAGCATATTCTTTCAAAATTCTGTGAGATAATAAAATCAGTGCATCTTTTCTAAGTATGTACATCACCCAAATTTTGAGAGGAGGAGAATACAGGATAAAAATGATAAGGAAGATTACGGGGAAGAGCAAGTACGAGTTGTCTTTGAATCCAAAGCAGAATTTGACTGATGTGAAAACTTTTATGGTAGTTAATTCACCAAATTGGTAGCCCACAAGTTACTAATTGAAGGTGCCTATTCATCCTATCATAAGAGAATTAAACTATAACAGAAGCATTTCAGAGTTCAGAGCAGTTACCACATGCTTAAGTTGGTGCTATGAAGAATAAGTGTTTGACACACAAGAACATAGAATACAATGTGAACAAATGCTGACTACTTCTCTTTATTTGTTTAATCTTACTTTATAAGAATACTCCATTTATAAATACTACTGATTGTGCATATTCTTGGAGCATGTGTGTGTGTGTGTGTGTGTAGGAATAGAAACCCAAAGTTGTCTCTGAATTCTCCAAGTTATTAAGGTGGAAATACTAGTTATTTGAATTATTCTACTAAATTGAGTAGTATGATTCCTCAGTACTATTATGCAATAATTGGCCAGATCCCTCTGGATGCAAGAATCATTTGGAAAATTTTAATTTGTTTGGCAAGTTACTATAAAAATGTTTCTTTTCTTAGTATAATTATACATATATCCCCATTGTTTAAAACTGGTTTATAACTCTTTATAAGACAAGACATCTAGAATCTGAGAAAAAGTGGTTTAATACTTAAAGGACCATTTTCTGGTGCATAAATCAAAGATACTACTGTGCATTCATAGTCCTTGCTATCTATAACTAATACTAAAGAAGAAAGTGAAGTTGGAAAATTAATTCCAGAGCTCTGACATTCCTGTAAAGGAATAAGATTGTATATAAAATGGTTGATTGAAATGTCTAAAGAATAAAATGTCTCATGAAATAAAAGTCGTATAATGAAAAATATTAAAGTTAAATAGAATTTTTATTCTATTTAAAGGCATGGAAATAAAACTATCTGAAGATGCCAGTTGATATGTCTTAAAATAACAAAGTATTTTTAAATCAAATGATAAAATGCAGCATTGTCAAGGTTATATCAAAACTAGTAAGTTCAAGGAAAGTAAGAATCCTAGAGGAAGAAAGGGTTTGATATATATTTTAAAATACTAGATGGCTACATATAACTAGAGTTGAAAGCTAAATATAGTAGTGCCTGAAATTTGTTCTATGCAGAGCAGGTCAATATAAACACAAGTTGATATGATCATGAAATTAATTGAAGTATTATTTATAAGCATTGATAGACAAAAATTAGAAATAATTCAAATAAAATATTAAGGTAGTGTTGTGATTAATAGTCTGTGATACATCAGCATTGCATGATAGAATATAACTATTAAAATAATATTTAGAAGGTTATATACTATAGCTAAATGAAAGTGAAATAATAAGCAGTGTATATGCTCTCTTTGCATTATGTAAGAATGTATGTATATATAAATAACTACATGCAAACATTAACCTAGCTATTGTGTATGTTAAGTGACTGGTATTGAAATTTTTTAATATTAAATTGTTGCTTCATTAAATGTTTCTTCAAAAGGAAGACTCACTAAAATTTATTTTATATCCTGTTGAACTGTGGTATCAATGCATTTATGTAAAGAAAGAAAAAAGAGAAATCAACGTATTTATAATCTAGGGCATTAAAAGACTGTGCCCACCCCCACATCCATCCTCAGGTGATTTTGAAAACTAATTCTCCATTTTGTGGTTCTGCTTATAGATATATAAAATCAAAACTCTAGGATTAACTAGAGTTCTTTTTTAAGGTACAAATAATACTTTAAAAGAATTCACTTAACATTGAATATATTTAATGATAAAACTTTTCCCCTCAATAAAGATTAGCTTCTTTGAAAGAAAGGATGCTTTGATTAAAGGTAGAATTAATTTGGAAGTAATTTAGTTACAGCAGTGTAGGGTAGGGTACTGAAATGAGAGACCTGGACCTCAAGATTGTGGTGAAATCTGAGGGCATAAATGAGAAGGAAGGAAAGAGATGTTCAACTTGAAAAGCATTCAGAGAACTATATATTGAATCAGTTTTCACTTTGTCCAGTCTGTCTGAAATTCTTAAGATGTTTAATATCTGAAGGGAAGAAGTAGTGATTTTGAGAAAAGTAGCAGTGGTAATGTGTCTAGGCAAAATAAGCAGACCAAGAGAAAATAGAATCCCTTCACTGTTCTATCACACTGTTTCTGGAAACCTAGAAACAAACTTCTTTTCTCTTTCCTTGAGAATCCTTTTTTTTCCCCCTTTGTCCTCCGTACTTTAACTTCCACAGAGAGCTAAGCTACTCTGTATATAAATGAGAACCTAGAAAAATATCCTCAAAACCTACCAAGTCTGCTTAATGAAAGTTTTATTCTTTTCCTTGCCCTAGGGTGTTAGCCTATGTAAATATACATATCCACATAACATAGCTAATAAATTACAACTCAGATGCTTTCTGTGTTTTGTAATTTAGCATCGTCTGCTTCTGGAAAATTTGGTAACAATTTTTAGTTCTGTTTCCAATCTCTGGATATATATGATCAGTCAGTTCACATTGATAACTGAAGTGACTCAATTATTTATCAGTTCACAGAACTGTGAACCCTGTATAGTGGATTAGAAATTGGGCTGGGTTTGTGGCTCAGTGGTAGAGTGCTTGCCTAGCACGTGTGAGGCACAGGGTTCAATCCCCGGCAACACATAAAAATAAATAAAATAAAGGTATTGTGTTTAAAAAAAAAAGAAAGAAATCACTTATATATCATATTGCTTATCTGCTTTGTGAACACTCAGCACTTATTTTTCTGTCTCTGGCAAATATTTTATCCTATCTTTCTTATTTAAATAGTTTTCTATTATAAAGAAATATACTGAGATAACCAAAATAGTTTGTGAATATATTTCTGGACATTTAAATAAGGAAACTATTATAAGCACAGATTAGATTTACCTGTTTCAGTACTTAATACAAATGGAATACTACAGTGTAAGGTATGTTTTACTGGATTATTTAATTCCTATGGTGAAGCACAGTGGGCTGTAACAGTACACTAAACACAGAATGAGATAAGGGGATAAGTTCACTTGGAATATTACACATATTATATGCATCTACTGTATTCTATGAAAACTTATAAGAGTAGGGCTCTTTCATATAAAATGAGATTTTTCCATAGAGAATGTGATCATATTTGGGGGGATATGGCATGAGAATATTCTAAAGGTAATTCAGGATTTTCTGACTTTTATGAAGGTAAGTAGAAGTCAAGAGGGCAGGAATTAAAATGAAAAGATGTTTTTAAAGAATACTAAAGAATTGAGATAAGAATTTTTAAACACCTTTCCTTCCCTTTTGTTCCAACTTTAAAATCCCATAAGATAAATTCTTTTTGTTTTGTGAAAATATAGAATACAGTATGATGGAACTACACATCTCAATATTATTTGACTATATTTTATTCCAGAACATCTATAGGAGACTTCTTTCACAATCTACTATAATGGCAGAAGTAGAAACACACAGGGTACTACTAACAGTAGCCACGGCAGCTGTTGTGATTCCTTTTTATTTAAAGTGGGGTGTATTGGCAATTGAATTGTTGAAATGTCATTTACCACCAGGATTGGTTTGATAATAATGCTAAAATGGAAAAGCTACTTTAATAAGCAAGCTGAGACAATAATACCTGTTTTACTTCTAATGATCCAAAAAAACAGGAAGGTTTTTGCAGAAGTATGAGTGGAAATCTGAACATGCTTTTCTTTAACTTTGGGGGATTTTAGGAAAGGTTATAAGGTGCCCAAAATATTATCTCAACAAGAAAATGTGTCAAAGATCTGGATATTGCCAATCGTAATATAACAAATTCATTTTTTGTAACAAATTCTTGGCTTCTCTGTTAAAAATCCTTATGTGTTTTCTCCCTTGCAGTATAGCTTCAGAAGAAAAGTTAAGTTCTTTATCAGAAATAATGCAAGTTTGTAGATAAGTATTAAAGCTTATTGTACTTATACTGCACAATCCATTATGTTTAAGCATAGAGACAAATACATAAGTGAATAAGACATTTATTTATTCAAGTTACTCCATGATAATATTATGATCATGTCAGAATTTTGGGACCCCTTCTGATATTTTCTACAATGAGTGAAATAATGTAGGTTAAAATATATTTCATTTGGTTAGTGCAATGATGCTATCTTCCTATTTTAGCAATAGGTTTGTATAACAAACTACAGGCATTCAAAATATTCTGAAGGAAAAAATGTTCTGGTTAGTTGATTTCACAAAAAGAAATATTTTTAATCATAAATCCTAGAAGTCCATAAAAACTTAGAAATTTATATTCTTACAGCTGGCAGACAATAAAGTATCAATGCACCTTATTAACACACTACATTGATTAAAGCAACAAATAAAGCAAAAGTTATTTTTGCTTTACAAAGTTTTGGAGTGGGGAGTATTTAGTAAAAAATTTCCAATCTTAATATTGGTATGGTATAAGAGTTTGCTTCACTTTTATATGTTGCTTAAATTAACAAATGATTGCAAATCAAGCATTTTTAACTCAGTTAATATGTACATATATTACTTCCATGTCCTTTCTTGCTTCCATGTGTGTTCATCTTTCTCCCTTACAAGCCATTTCTCTCTTCCTTCCCAGACTGGGTTAAATGTGTTTTCAAGACTTAGTTTGGGGGTAACTGATTTGGGAACTTGTTTCTTCTCTGAGTTGGGTTAAGTGTCCCTCCTCCTCATTAGCCTCTTGATAACATCTTGTATATAATTCTCCCAAGACTGTAAGCTCCCTAATAGATAGCATATCTTTTTTCTCTTATCTCCAGTGACTGGTTATATAAATAAAAGAAGAAAAAGTAATCACTATATAAACAAAATAAATAAGAATGCATTTTCTAGGTTCTAATGTTAAAGAAAATCTGAAAACAAGAAAGATTATATACTCATTACTACTATATTACTTCATAGGTGATACAGTAATGTTTATTTCTTGATATAGGTGTTTACTGTTGGCAGAATATGTGCTGATCGTACCAGAATTTATCATAAACTGAAACATTTTAAGTTCAAACTCTACCAGGAATGTTGCTCTCTTGCAAAGACAGAAGAAGTTGAGGATGAACAGGTTAAAGAAACAGTGGAAAGAATTTTCAGTCAGTCAAAAGAAAATGGCTGGATTAAAGAGGTAAGGTGAATATAGAAGAACCCTCTCATTCTGTAGATTCTAGAGCCTAATTATGATCAGGAAAAACCCACAAATTATTAGAAGACAGTGAAATTTAAAAGACAATCTTTTCTTCGCCCCATTTTTTTTTGTATTTTCTCTTCTTTCACACATTCCTTTCATGCTTATCATTACCCTACCCTGAACAGATGTCCTGATATTCCAAGAATTCACTCAGTTCATCAGATAAATTTTAATTAATAAAAAGTTTGTCCCTTAGTGAAGGATCTCTATCCTTTCATATATGTATTCCATATATATGTATCCCCTTATTTTCTTTGACAAGGTATAGGACTCAACTCTGCTTGTCTGCTTCCTATTCTTTAGAACAGTTCTTGTGACCTGAGAGTGAAGAAGCACCTGGTGCCAATCTGAGGAAAGGATCTTCGCTGCCAGTTCTAATACCACCCACATCCTCTTCTTGAGGACATGGGACTGAGCAGTGAGCAGTGTAACTGAAGATCAAGGGGAATGCGGAGGTTTCAGGCCATCACACTGATTTTGATTTCCCCATATCCTGTTGATCACTAAATTTGATATCAGGAATAGAGTGGGGTTTTGAAGAGTGCACTGGATTCCCAAAGATCTACTGGCAGCTCATAGCTCTGGTCTGCTCACAGAGCTTTTAGAATTGTTTATAGTGCACAAAAAGAATACTAATATGATTGCAGTCTTCTAAAACAAGTCTAGTTACATGGATAAGTAAGAGAGAACAAACAGTAGATTTCAGGCACCTCAGATCAATGGTATATACTTTAAAAAAAAAAAAAAACCTGCTTGAGATCCATTGCCTAGGCTAGATCATAGGGAAATTTGTAGGTGGGAGCAAGGGTGGCAACAGATCTTGGCAAACAAACTTCTGCAGAGGGAAAGAAAAACAATAAAACAAATTTCTTAGAACATATCATCTTCAGTGGAGGTCTTCTAGTCTAGAGAATGACTTCATGGTTGGTTTCCATTTTGACAATAATTTTCCCACTTCATACCACCACCTAGTGATCTTGCCTACCTCTGACGCCTTGATCCTTAAGTCTTCTTTCATTCATTTTACTCTCATCTTTTTATCTTTTCCTTTGCTTCTACTTTGCCTACTCCAGATCTCCTCCCATCCTGCTTGTGCTTTTCCATTTGTGCTCTTCCATAAGGGAAGAACCATCATTTATCCAGTAACACATCTTCATTTTCCTAGATGTTAAATTCTTAAGTGTTTTTATTGATGCCTTTAGAGGTTGCCAACCCTCTAGTGAAATTGGAAAACCTATTGTGATACTACAGTTAAAAAGGATTGTGTACTAGGGATAGAAAAAAATCACTGTGTACTTATCATTTATATTATGTAAAATTATATATGGGAAACCTTAAATTTCTTGAAAAAACAAAAAGCATTTCCAAATCATGTACCTTCAAGAAAGCTTAACCAGGTTTGGGACAACAGAAGGGTCCTGGAATAAGAAATATATTCTTAGGGAGGAAAATAACCAAATCTCACATTAGGCATATAGAGAATAACAATTAGCATTAGGCAATGAAGGCATTTCAAGATTATACATGTTTAGGACAATATATATATATATATATTCATATTAAAATAGCAAAGAGCTTCATTTTCTTTTTGAGATTTTTCCCTCACTTTAAAAAAAAAAATTTGTCTATGAGAATTTCTCCAAAGGTTTCCTAGAAACCATGAGGTTTATAGCCAACATAAACCCATATGCAGTTTTTTGTGCTGTGATAAAATTTCAGAATTTGTCAAATTTGTTTACTCTGATTTTATCGCCCTCACTCTGTTTATCCTTCTCTGTGTGAGCCTTTATGTGACAACACTGCATGTGTTTTGTGATGCTTCCCTTCACTGGCTGCAATCTTGTGGCCATAGTTACTATGACCCTTTAGAATGTCTGGGCTCAGTGCAACTTGAATGCCTATCTCAGTGGCTATTTCTGCTTTCACCTCCCAATTAAACCAGATCCTTCTTTTGCTTTATACAAAGTATTTGTTCCTATCTTTCTGCTCCCAGCTTTTACCCACACTTTGCTTTTACCCTTACCTATCCCTTCTCTTCCAAGCACTTTTCTTCCATTACCTGAGGGTATCTCAGTGTGTTCTCAAACACCTGCCAACTAGACTTCATTCTTCTTGTTTTTACTCCATAGCACTAAATGAGGATTATCTGTTTCAGTCTATTTATACTAAAGGAATGTAGAAGTAACTCAAATATAAAAAAGAAGTGATAGGAACATTTAATAAAACCAAAATACATAGCAAATACATATGTCTCATTTTTAAATAATATGTGACAGGCAAAATTCTAACAAATGTTTTTTTTTATTAAGAGGAAAGTTCATATAATGATGAAGTTTCCTAGGAATTGAAAATAAGATTGTTGGGGTGGGGTAATAGATATATTAACACCAGGAAGTGATGAAAGTATGTTATATTAAGTCAGTTTTGCACTTGGATCTGACATAATTTTCTTATATACATATATGAATATTCCACAGTGAATCTCACCATCATGTACATCCACTAGTCTAGGGTCCTAATTAGAATAAGATATATTCCATGCTTGTATAATTATATCAAAATGGATTCTACTGTCATGTATAACTAAAAAGAGCCAATAAAATAAAAAATAAATTCTAAATTTATTGCATAAAAGTTATTATATAAAGAAGAACTTTAAATTATAACTAAAAACTCTTCCCTTTTCTTAAATCGTTCTGATTTCTTCTCTTTTTTCCCTACCTTTTAACTTAACTTTCCTTTTTTCCCCCCTATCCTTTAAGATGATGTTTCTCAAAACATTGCCTTTGACAGCCTATATCAAAATCACCTAGTTTGTGAAAAATATATAATCTCTGGCTTCATCTAAACTTATTGAATGAGAATCCTTGATGGTGATAAACATCCAATGTTTTAAAAATTGAGTGATTAAGTTATATACAAGGACCACTACTTGAAAGGACATATTACATTAGATTATGTCTTCAGCTTCTCAAAGCTGCTTTGACAAATATATTCCATTCTGTAGATCTAGGCTGCTACTTCTTAGTAAAGGACTCCAAGCTCCTTTTATTTTCTGACTGCTTTCCCACAGTCCCAACTGTTTATATTAGTAAGCCCATCTGGTACTATAAGAGAGTAGTCTTCATTATTAAAATAAGATCTAAACTCTCCAAATGCTCAGTGAAGAAGACCTAAGGGAGCTGTATCTTTAGGTGGAGAAAATGGCAAAAGTAATACCAACTGTCTTTTTCTCTGTTTCACTGTCCCTTTTGAGGTTTTTTCCATTTTTGTCATCAAAGCTGCTACCTTCTTGTCCCCCCTCCCCACTTTAAATCTCAGAAACACTATACTACTATAATGGTTAAATGCATGGATTTAAGTATTTGCTCTGCCATTTACTAGCAATAGAATTTGGAGGTAAGTTAGTTTATTTCTATAAATCTAAAGTTTCTATAAAACAGGAATTAAATAATATGAATTAGGATTTTGATTTTGGAATTAAATAAGTAGCACATTTTAAACATTTATTATAGGTCCTAGCAATTAAAAAGTGATCAATTAATGTTAGCTATTATTTGTAATAAAAGCAAGGAGAGATTTTGCATCCTTTATATATATTGGATAGAGCCAGATACTGTGGCACACAACTGTAACCCCAGTTACTCAGGAGGCTGAAGCAGAAGGATAGAATGCCTGAGATCAGCCTAGGCAATGACCTTCTCCCAAAGTAAAATTTTAGAAAAAGAGCTAGGGACATATCTTAATGGTAGAGTGTTTGCCTAGCATGCGTGAGGTCCTGGGTTCAGTCCCACTATTGAAAAAAAAAAAAGATAAAAGATAAATTAAAATTTTCAGGAACAAATTTAATAAATAATAAAGAAAAACAACATAAAAGAAAAATAATAATAATAATAAAAGATAATAATAAGAAGATAAATAATAATAATAAGATAAAAGCATCAAACAACTAAACTTTTAAAGTATACATTTCTTAAAGTACTTTACTTATATCTAGTAAAACCTATCTGAGACTAGGCCAAGAAAATTCCTAAGTAGTCTTATAAGTTATTCCTCCTCTTGTTCTTTTCTTCCTCCTTTCCTGAGAAGGTGATGTAATCAGAGATCTTGGGGTTATAAAAAAAGGTTTCATGGCCTTATCTAGAAGGAAGATGGACTCCTCATATTCCCTTCTATAGATCTCTACCACCACAAGGTTCTTAGAGATCTTCTCTCATCTTGATAGGGATAGACCCTCGGAGTTCATATCAAGAAACCATAAGATTACATAACCTCCTCAACTGAAGAAAGCATTTTGCACTCTGTATATCCCAAACTGAACTCATATATCTCTTTTGCTCCCCCAAGCTACTTGTGAAATGGCCCTGCTCTTTCTCCTACTCACTCACCTTGATATCTCAAAATCATCCTCGACTCCTCTCTTAACTTGTTCCACCCTGTTCCTTATCCTCCATCTTCATTGCTATTACTCAAATTTGAGCCCTCGTGACCTAACTTGTAACCATAGGTTCATAATTGGTTGTGAAATCGTTCTAGAATGGCTGTTTTACCAATTTCCTTAAAATATACCTCAGATCAGGTCAGTCCTCTGCTCCCAGATCTTTAGCACCATTCCATGGTCTGTTAAATTATTATTCCACTCCTAACATACTTTTTATTATCTGACCATAATCTCTTTAGTTCAATCTTATCTCTCTCAATTCCTTAGAGTATAGTCAAAGCCCATACTTCCTTATCAAGTTACTGTTGGATGAACATGTTATCTCTTGCAGAAAAATTTGCTAACTTTTTGCCTACAAAATCTTTGTGCCAAGGACAGCTTGAATGTCATTCTTTTCCAACCACTTCAGCAAACTATGACTTCTGAACCCTCATAACATGTTTTTACTCCTTCATGACACTTATTATGATTGTTAATAGTGTAGTACTACTAAGCTCTAGTCTCCATTGGGGCAGGGAAAGTATCTTTTCGAAACTCTGTACCTTATAAGTCATTAGTTTTGACATATATGTCCTATAAATATTTTTAATGTTATTAAAGTAATTAAATTTCTACTATAAATATTATAACGGAAAATTATAATTTGTGAGTTATGAAATTAATTATACTATTGTTTGATTTTTTACCAATGCTTTCTATGAGTTAGATATTTTTATTTGAAATTGAGTTCCTAACTATAATAAAAAGATATTTGTTCCCAATTACTATGAAATGCATTTCTGTTGTAGTTTGAAAAATGTGTGTAGTTTGAAAAGGTCTAGCTTATCTTCACTGCTTTGAGTTAAATAACTAGCTTTTTCATTGTATATGCAGAAATATGGTCAACTTGAAGAATATCTCAATTTTGCGGATTACTTTCAAGATGAGAAGTTTGACTGAATTGTAATACATTTCCTTCAGAGAAGATTTTATAAATTCCTGTAAATGTGAAGATCATGAACCTTGTTTCACTGTACTATGTGGCATTTTATATGTTTTTTGTGTATCTTCAAGCAAAATATCTTGTTTAAAACATGTTCATTTAATTTCCCATGAAATGGCACTCTATATCTGATAAAACTTTTATCTGCTGTACATGGAAAACAAGCTTAATAATTTTTAAGCCCATAAATGTATTTTTAAAGTTATCTAACAATGCCTTTATTACAGATGACTATCAAGTGACTGAGCTAATCATGTTCTGTCAGTTTAGTAGAAATATATTGTATTTTAAAATATTTAGCCTAACATCTCTATATATTTAATGTTGAATCTCTGTTTGGATCTATTTGTTATCCTTTTACAGTATTAAATGGTTTTCTTCACTAATATATTTTTTATTACTATCATCTAAACTGCCATAGAAGAAACCTCAATGTATCATTCAGTAAAGTCCCCTTGCTTCATAATCAGACTGTAGTTTTTCTGTTCCAAATAGAGGAGTGCTTTATGCTTTTTCTAAAGTTTTCCTTAAAAATGAATTTCGGGCCTCTGAGAGTCTTTCAAACCTCACATTCAAGAAAAATTTCATGATCTGTATTTTCATACTTTATGTTATTTCTTTTTTCTATTCAGTTTTGTGTAGATGTTAATGATTAATATATATTTTATTTTTACCCATAACTTTCCCAATATATGCGTATATGTTAGGGTCTGAAGATTCCAGAGACAAGTTCAGCTAAAAATACTTTAAAAGTATATTTTGGTATCTGCATTACTTTGCACATCTTCATTTTCCCAGAGTATAATAAACAGTTGCAGAGTGAACAAATGGACCCTGTCTATTCCATCTTTAATTCTCAATAATGGTATTCTAAAAGGATCTCTTCTACTGTGGAATTTTAGATTCTTTTTCTTACTGGAAGTCTTAATTGAACCTCGCTTCATCTATTAATGAGATTCACAGCATGGACCTCAATGTATGTATATACATAATAAATATCTACATTTTGTTAAATCCTTCAAGGAAGATTAGTTCATATTTTCTGTAATTCATTTTCTGTAATTATCCCTATTATTATTTTAAACAAATTGGATTTTAAAGACTCACAAAGTGGTGAGAATACTGATGCTGATGCTTAATAAAAAATGCATACATTTTTCAAAAGTGTGAGATAAACATTTTGGTCATACATCTATATTCATTTTATTTCTCTGGAACATGGAGGAATAGTCCTTAACGCCAGGGAATAAAAATTAAGCCATAGTTAAAAGGTGAAGATGAAAGGACTCAGTTCAAAAAGAATCAAGACAGAATTATACAAATGATAGTCAAGGTGAGGAAGATGAAGGATCATGAATGATTTGTTAAAAGAAGGCCAGAGAAAATGATCTTTAAAGTTTCTCTGATGACTCTGGAAGCACCACTTTGCATCTGACACATGACAAGCTTGAGATAGTGGACGAGGAAAAGGACTTCAACCTGAAAATTGTAAAACTTTTATTATTTTTAACTGTATGCAATAATTTATAAAATTAAGGCACTAATAATTCCAGGTACTTACGATAGTAGCTTATGTAATTCTGGGTCAGGCCCGTTGTTGGCTTGAATTGGTCTTTTCCAATTAGAACAGCTGATTGTTGATCACAAAATGCATACAGGTAGTTTTTCTGATGTCTGGGGATATGCTACTTTAGTGGATGTTTGGAAGATACAAGAAGCTTTTAAGTACAAAGTACATGGTAACACCAAAAGAATGACAAAGATACAGGCTGTTAGGAGTGGAGAATTAGTATGGTTTAGGGGACCCAAACAAGTAGTTTTATAAGAAAATACAAATGTCAAAAAATAGAATTAACCTTAACTGCTATTATGACATACTGTATTATATTATAACCAATATCATTGATCCAATTATAACACTAAAAATAGGTTGCAAGCTTATAAATCTCACATGACAATGTTTTTAGATCTGGGCAGTTATTTCTGTAGTATTAGTTAATATAGCATTAGATAGCTGTGTATGATGAAGATACGAGTAAGGTGAAAAGAGAAAAGTAAAAGAAGTCATGATTGAAAACTAAACAGAAGTTTTGGGAAATGAGAGAAGGCATAGAACCATAAAACAGGAAAAATGAGTGGGGGGATAGTTATTTCATAATTGAGTATAGTTAACTAGGTTTCCTAACTTTGTACACTCATATTCAAGTGAGTAGTTGTATCCACTACTCATTCCTTACAGGTATTATGGGGCTTGTTTACCATGAGTGTTGACTGGGGGATAGTTGCACTCCTTGAGCTACTATGAGAGTAGTTTGACTTCCTTGTAATTCTTTTCACACTTGATTTTTTTTTTATTTCTTACATACATGACAATAGTGGAATGCATTACAATCACAATTATCCATTCACAGCACAATTTTTTGTAACTCTGTATACAAAGTATGTTCATGCCAAATTATGCCATTATACATGAGCTCTCATTATTTTTTTGCATTACAATTCTTAATACACTTTTATACCACAATTTATCATATCTCTGTTAGTATACAAGGTATGTTGACACCAAATTCATATCTTCATACATGTATTTTGTATAATGATGAGGGTCTCCTTCCACCATCTATGCTATTCCCCTTCTCCCTCCCTTTCCCTCCCACCCCTATTCCCTATCTAGAGGTAATCTTCCTCCCATGCTCTCCCTCCCTACCCCATTTTGAGTCATTCCCCTTATATCAGAGAAGACATTGGGCATTTGTTTGGGGGGGGGGATTAGCTAAAAAAACGATGGTTAGAGGCCACGAAGTAGGTGGCAATGCCTTAACTGTATGCATGTTGTCAGGTCCCAGAGCCTCTTCCATCCTTGTCAAGGGGAGTTCTAACCTCTCTTTTCATACAACAATCACACTTGATTTTAAGGCAGCAAGCCTGATGGGTAAGAGCATAGGTTTGAAGTCAGTCTTGAGTTGGGTCCTTGTTATATGAACTGGAGATTAATTTTATAAGCCTCAGTTTTCTCACAATTGGGGTTATTAATAGCTATCTCCCAGGATTGCAAATCAAGGGAGATCATTTATATGAAGTGCTGTGCCTGAAACCAATTTTTTTAAATAAACAGTCATAAGTGATGTGAGTAGAAATGAAGAGTTGATAATAAATGACATCTTGAAATCAATGGCTATGCTGTATAAGGGTAAATGTATGCAAAAGACATTCCAAAGAAATGTCCCATACCACTGGAATATAGTATGAATATGTGCTTATATTATGAAACTTTGCTTCCCAAGCTTTTAAGATATGTCTGTGTATAGCATAGTTCAGTTTATTACCCAATGCATACATGTACTGAAATATCTATGCTACCCCATAAATATATAAATTTTTGCATTCATTTATGTGTCATTTGATGTAAATTTATAAACCACTTTGATCTTTTAATTTATATGATTAGGGATAGCTTATTTGACCAAGAATTCCATGCTATTAATCAAAACCTATGTTACTGCAGGGTGATAGAGTGAACAGTAAAATTTAAACTTAAATATTACAATTTTTCTTTTATCAGGCATGATTGCTGAATTTCAAATACCCATAACAGTGAAACAAGATATTGTCTAATGAATACAACTTTTAAAAAATCAAATATAAAATGATCAAAACTCTTTCACATTTAATGACACCTCATGGCAGAGTTCATCATTCAAATTTTGTTTATTTAACAAAGATATATTTCTGCCTTCCTTCACATGAATAATAAGGAAATTAGCCTTGAATGGGGCAGACAGAAATATGTTCCCATGAAAAGCTAAATGTTTTATAGCTGAGTATCCCTAATTTAAAAATACAAAATCTGAAATGCTTCTAAAAATCTGAAACTTTCTGAGTACCAACATGATGAATTTTTGGAACATTTCAAATTTTCACCTTGGGGATATTCAATTGGTATAATCTATACAAATATTCCAAAATCTGAAAAACTCAAAAAACCAAAACACTTATAGTATCCAAGTATTTTTGGATAAGGGATACTTAACCTGTATTCTATCAGAGTATACTTGCCTCCACTTCTAATCTAACATTTGTAAAAATAAAATGGAACTACAGTAGGTCAGTCTATGGGGAACTAAACTGAATAAATCCAGTCTTGAAATGTTTGCATTTATTTTGACCATTCATTTCTGTCCAGGGCTCAGTTTGAAGCAGGATCATGTTACTGAAATGCCAGAGTTGGTTTAAATTAATGAAGCTCCTCTGCTTGAGAACTCAAATCCAATGACATCCAAATTAGTCCTCCTAGATTATTTTTGGTTCCAACTTCCAATATTGTACTTACCTTAATTTACTCTCCATAATTAATAGACAAGCAGAATCCACTATACGGCTGGCTAAAAACAGGATTATCTAATATTGAGGAGAAAATGTTCTTTGTAAGAGATCTATTTGGTTTGTGTTATTAAACTTGAAAGTCATCTGGTACACGTTGATTTTCTTCATTGTATATGTAAACCAGATAGCTATAGAAAAGTCTTGTCTCGCATTTGGTTGTCATAAGCAATCTTAAATTTTTAAAGAAAAAAAAACTTGTTTTTCTTCTAGAACTGGTATTAGTAATTTCACCATCCGCATAAGGATTTTATTTATCCATATTGATATGCTTTGACCACCCAGATAAACCATCCAGAGAGACACAGATAGGAGGCAGACACTACACCTGCATGCCCTTAACGAAATAGCAATGATTTTCCTTCTCTCTACACCCCTCCCAAACACATTCGCCAACTTCCTTACTAATGAACGTTTCCTCAACGCTTACCGAGTTCTCGCTGGGGTGCTCAGTGGTATCATTTACAACATATTGAAAGATGAAAATGATATCCTCAGAGGGGCATAATGTAGATCTGAAAGGGAAAATACATTCCCTGGCAGGGAATTTCTTAAACATTTAGAGAGAGTGAAATAGTTGCATAGGGGTTGGGGAATTTCCCCAGTCTTCCCCGCATCACCAAGTCTGAGGCTGGGCTGAGCGAAGTCTGTTGAGATGCGCAGCTTTGGGATTTACCTCTTCAGCCACTGGGAGGCCCTCTGCGTTCCCCTTTCCCCGGTGCCTGGCTGCGATTACTCACTTGAGTAGTGGCACCAGCCTTCCACCAGGGAGCCTCGAGCGAGCTCTCCCGCCCTCCCCCCCCCAGCCCCCCCACCCCGCGGCTTGCTGGCTCTCTCTTTCTCCCTCTCTGTCTCACTCTCTCTCTTTCTCTCCCTCTCCTATCGGAGCACAATGAAAGCCTGTGTATCGCCTGTGTATCGCCGTGACTCCGGGCGGGAACCAGTGTCAGCAAGCGGCTAACAACAGACGAGAAAGAGAAAGGAAAATACAAGCTACTTTTTTTTTCCATCTATAAAGCGGAGCAATACAAGAGATAGAACCACATTGCTTATTGCGAGTCCAGACCCTCAGATCCACTGGCCGGGGATGGAATGTACAAAAGTGGACAGAAAAGTGGCTGGACATGACTCGGTGCAATTTGCTGGAAGTTTGTAAGTTTGACCATCGTTTGTAAATTACTCTCGGAAGAGTTTGTGTCTCTTGATACTGTATGAGAATAGAGCCGGGGTGAGGAATAGAACCGTAAGCGGGAAAGAAAATATGTGTCGAAGGATCTCTCTCAGTGGCTAGCCACTTCAGATTGCTTTCATTTAAGGCTAGGAAACCTTAGAGGGAATGAGGATTTTGCCGGTGATTGGATTAGCAGAAGAAAAAAGCATGGTCCCAAAGTCCAATTACTGACATTGTTAACGATTGAAAAGCTGTCTCCTTTTGGGAGAAGACAACATCCTACAGCACCCCAAGGAGGAGATAACATTGGAGCAAAGGGAAAGAGGAAAAAATCAAAAGCCAAAAGACAGTTGCCCTTGATTTTTGCACATTTTGAACATTGACTTCAAAACGTTCTGAAACAGCACTGTTTTTTTGTTTTGTTTTGTTTTTGGTGTGTGTGTGTGTGTGTGTGTGTGTGTGTTTAACCTGAGAAAAAGTAAAGGCTGCCGGTTACATACACCATGGTAGAAATGTATTTCTCTGCAGATACATCTCCATAATTTTCTGAAACAACTAGGTGCGGGGAGTCCAGCTCTCTATTAATACCTCTCTCAATTCCTTTTTCTGTGTGTTTCTGTCTCTTGCTTGACAATCCCTGAATTCTTGAACTAACCCCCAGATTTTGTGCTTACAAAGTACATAGTGGCTCTTGTCAGCTTCTTGAGGTGTGTGGGGGGGAATTCACCAACTCTATCCAACTTCTCCAGAGCTGTCAAATGCAATTAGAGTAAGTTGATCAGGGTTTGTTTCCAACTTATCCTCTCCAGTTGGTCTCCATTCTTTTCTCCCCACCCTCTTTTTACTAACTCCCCTCCCCCACACCTTCTCTACTGTTCCCCCCACCTCTGAAGACCTCTATTCATGTGGCCCTGAACACTGAGTTCACATTGTCAAACACAGATTTGCCTGCAATAGACAACACAGTAGCCTCTTTACACCTCATCATCCCAGGCAGCAATCATTGTGTCCAATAAGATGGGGGACACAGCGCCCCCACAGGCCCCTGCAGGAGGGCTAGGGGGGCCTTCTGGGGCGGGGCTCCTAGGAGGGGGCTCAGTCACCCCCAGGGTGCACAGTGCTATCGTGGAGCGCCTGCGGGCTCGGATTGCTGTCTGCCGCCAGCACCACCTGAGCTGTGAAGGACGCTATGAACGTGGTAGGGCCGAGAGCTCAGACCGTGAAAGGGAGAGCACCTTGCAGCTCTTGAGCCTTGTACAGCATGGCCAGGGAGCAAGGAAGGCTGGCAAACACACCAAGGCCAATGCCACCGCTGCCACCACTTCAGCCCCTCCACCGCCCCCTGCTGCCCCTCCTACGGCTTCCCAAGCAGCAGCAACAGCAGCCCCACCGCCCCCACCAGACTATCACCATCACCACCAGCAGCATCTGTTGAACAGTAGCAATAATGGTGGCGGTGGTAGGATAAATGGAGAGCAGCAGCCACCAGCTTCAACCCCAGGGGACCAGAGGAACTCAGCCCTGATTGCGGTAAGGCACCTGGTTTTCTCATGCTTCTGGCTGTGGTCATGTGACCTTTTGTGAAGGTAGAGGTTGCCTTGGCCTAGTGCAGAATGGATGGCAGTAAAGAAGGCCAAGATGTCACTGATGACCTCAAAGGCCACTGAGTGTGTTGTCTGTGTGCTTTTGTACTCTTGCTCATCAAATCCCACCAATGCTCATGCATGAATTTTCCACCACCTGTAGAATATTCCTTAACTGATAAGAAGTCCTACTTCTCCAGAGGCTCTCTGGGGTTCAGGACTTTTAAAAGAAAGGCTGCAGCCGAGGAAGGCCCTGTGTCAAAGCTCATCCTGCTTTGGCTAGCCAGTTCTAATTAGGCCCAACAAGCCATTCTTCAGCGTGGAGGCATTTATCAGCTCAACTGACCTTTATCAAAGCCTTTGCCTTCTTGCCTGGTTTCCCCTCCTTCCTTTGAAGTATCCCTTCTTTTGGGTGAAGAGAACATAAATAGCACTTGTAATACAGAACAAGTTCTCTGAGTGTCTACTCATTCAAAAAAGTTAAAAAATGGGAAATATATTCCAAAGATAGACTAGTGAAGGATGTTCTTAGAAGAAGGCCTACTCCCTGATTTCCTGTGGACCCCATCCCACTTCCCACCTAGCTTCTTTTCTAGACACTCTGATCAAGCAGTGCTATCTCAGAGCATTCAAGGAAGTGGGAAGGAAGTGCACTTCATTCTGGGAAGTGCCTTCTCTTTACCCACTCCTTGTGACTGCATATCAAACCCAAAAGTTCTGATTAAGTTTCTGACTGCAAGTGCTTCCTCACAGGCACAGACACACCCCACCCAGAGGGAGGATCCCTTGAATCATTGATTTTTGGTCCCAGTCCTGGTCAGGTGACTGCCTGCCTGAGATGTGCTCCCTTCCCCTTGTGTTGCTGGGCCAGTAGCAATTGGATAGAAGGTGATATATCCTATGCTGCCCTGCAGCCCTGCGAGCTTCCCCTCTGAATTTCATGGGGCTCCTGAAGTTCTGTGTCTGCTCATGGCACAGCTTTAGTTTCCCTAAGCCAGCTTGGGTGTAAAGCAGAAATAGGAAATGGCCTTGTTAGCCCAAAAGTACTCAGAAAGCCCATGGAACCTGATGGTACTGTGTCAATGTCTCCTCCTGAGGAACTGGAAAATAAGCTGTGGGGACTGGACATCCTCCAGCCAGGCCCCCGGGGTATTTCTTTTTGGTTCCCCCTTATCCTTGCCCTAAGTCTGTGATGGAGAGATTTCCTGGATCTGGGAGCCGTGATGCTCTTCTCCCCCTCCATACATATATTTTACTTGGGATAACCAAAAGTACAACTCTTCGACACCAGCTTCAGACGGAAAAATAGCTACCTATAGTGAAACTGCCCAGTGTTTACTGTTTTATCCCTGAATGCAGTTAGCTTGTGAAGTTCTGTTGGAGCTTCAAGTCCTGATTTCCTTTCTCTACCATCTGCTCCATTGCCACTTTTCCTTGGAATTCCCCAGCAGAGCAGTGGGAGTTTGTTTTGTGAAAGAGAGATGCTAGGGTGAAGGAGGAAGGCAAAGAATTGCTCGAATGGCAAGAAGAATGAAGTTTGTATGTATGTGTGTGTCACCAGCATCTGCAGCCAAAAGTAACTAAATGCCTTGATTGTCCCCAGTAAATTTATAATCTGTCTGCAAGTCTCCCAATAATACAGCTTTGTGTGCTTCACAGTCTCCTGGTAAGTGTTTCTGGGATGATACTGACAGCAAGGCATCCAGGCCAGCCCTGAAAGGGGAAAGCTGATCTGCCCTGGATGTCAAGACAAGAGGAGCTACAAAAGGGCCACAGGGGCTTTTCCTCAGGGCCTTCACATACATGCCTCTGTAAGGAACCTGGCACGTCTGCTCATAGCCTTGGGTGCTTTGGGTTTGGGTTGTTTTGTTTGTTTATTTTTTGCTTTTGTCCAACTTGGAAGTAAGATGAAGCCGTCTCTTTTTCTTGAGTGCTTTGGGATGTGAAATGAAACCAATTTCAGTGGTTATTGTAGCTTTACAATAGCAATATCCATGTTGGCAAAGAAGTGAGGAAATAACATCTGGCCTTTCTCCACTAAAGAGCTAAGCCTGCAGAAGCCAAAGGTGTTTGTTTTGCCACCTCTGCTCTCTCCTCTGCCCTCCAACCATCTCCTAATATATTCATTCCCTTGGAGTGGTTCCCTTTCCAAGTGTAGTGATGATGTGGGAGGTTTGACATTAAGTTAGAAAGGAAAAGAGCGACTTATTTCAAAATGGTGTTCTTCATTGAAACTGTGGAATTGCAAAGGTTGATCCACAGCTCCCCTTTTGGTTATTGGAAATTCCCTCTCCATTATAGCTTCTAAATTTGGCACTTTATTACTCAGCCTGGTACTCGGAGATGGTGATGCAAGTGCTGTATTAACCTGATAACATTGTGTCTGACAGGAGGCCTGGGCATTAGGGAGTGATTCACCAGGCCCATTACACCAGCAGGTCTCACTTCAAGCAGGCTTCTCTTATTTTCAAAGACACTGTTAATCTAAAGGTCTTTGCCCAGAATGAGTGTCAGAATTCTTTCTTAATTTTATTGTGACTGTGTCCATAACCAGATTTATGTGATCTGGGTGTGCTGAATGTATCACTTTAATAGTGAATTTGTATGCTTTAAGTGGCCATAAATGTCCTTTGGAGAAAAGGAGAGAATATTGATCATCTAAAATCAAATAAGTGCTATGTCCTCAGATGAAAGCTCTGTATCCCACATACCTTCTAGTACAATGCCTTGTATATAGTGAATAATGTTTGCTGAATGAAGGTGAAAGGATTAGTTTTGTTCAGTGGGATAGTGTTGACTTTGAGGTGTGTTCTACTGTGGAGAATATTTAATTTCTGAATCTTTTCAATAGCCTAAGTTTCGAGAATAATGTAAGAATAACCTCTAAGTCAGTTCTAATTCTGTCCACATTGAAAGCCTAATTCTGCAGCCCTTACTCAGCCAGTTTCTTCATTTAGCTCAAGTACATGTTCAGGGGAAGCCCCACTGCTGCAGAGACTACAGGAAAAGGGCCTTTTAGAGAGCTGGTATTGTAGGGCTTTGAGCAAATCTGTATTTCTAACCACTTGGAGGAGGCTTTCAGCACTAAATCATTTTCTAGTGAAGTATGTTTGAATCTTTGAATGAACTGTGAAACTGAATAATTGCTGGTCCATGGAACAGTAAGGTTAGCACTTCCATGGTACATTATTAATCTTTCCCTTTTCCTGAGACAAGCTCTTTTTCTATTGTATAGATTGTGTTGCTAGGATGGGTAGATAAGTGGTTCTAAGTCCTCTTTGGCTTCAGAGATTATCTTTTCTCTAATGTGGTGTGGGGGAAAGAAAGCAGATCAAACAAGGGACCTGTGGCTCTTGAATTTGTGTCTGCTTGATTCCCTAACCAGCTGGGTAACCTAGGACAAGTCACTTAGCAGTCATCTGTAAAACAGAGAGAACTAGAATACTGCTCTAGCTTGTTGAGAGAAGCAAATGAAGATATGTTTCTGAATGAGCTTGAGAAAAAATAACTGCCCTACAAAAATGCAAGACATCTTCACTAATATTACTACTAATAAACTGAACGATGAATAATAATACCAGTTTTTTCAGGGTTTAAAAGTATCTCAGCTCTCAGTTGTCTGTTTTAAGTGGTGAAATAACTTTTATTGTAGAGGGATCGGTATTCCAAATTTAGTGCTATCAAGTTAAAACTGAGATATCAGTTTACTTAAGTGTTCTTGAAGTCCCAGGAAATTCCACTTCTAATGTGTGATACTGTGAAAGTCTGGGGAATTTTTGAATGCATGTACTTCACAGGCCCCTGCATGGGCCTGAGAAGTTTAGGAAAAGTGTAGCCCCCAGAGCTCCCAGAAATATTAGAAAAGTCACTTACACAAATGGCATGGGAAAGTTAAATATTTTGTCAACAATAGTCTAAAACGTTAATTGTTAGCTTAAGAAAGTCAAACAAGTTAAATCATTGCCAGAGTTCCCTGGTTGTTTTAAACTGATAATAATCAAGTTTCCAATTGACAACTCAAAATTTGAGAGCTGTAAGTTGGGGGCCAGATCTGGGTGTCTGTGGCTGTGTGCATGATAAATGTCCTGCCCAGGACAGTGATAGGAGTGTTTACATTATTTATATATGCAGCCATCATTTCTTGACCTATTTTTGTTCTGTTTTCCAGAACAAAGTAATAAAGGGAGAGTTCTTATGTATTCAGGACCTCACCACTTCTGTCAAGTAAATATAAGATCTCACAAAGGCACAGAGTTCAAGTGGAGAGAAGTTGGTACCATGCTTTATCAAAAATTGACAGAAAGCTTGCTCCGACAGCAAGGCAATGTCCTGTAAACCAAGATGTCTTTGCTTGTTTAGATCAATATTTGTTTATAGAAGTCATCTGCTTTCTTTGAAATAATGTCATTGCTAAGTGATATTCATCAAATTTCAGCTTCCCTATTCCTAAAATCATTTTTAAATACCAAGATGTTGAAACATGCATAAGTTTTCAAATGGTCTTATACATAACAATTAAATATTACTAAGAGAGTGGCCATTATCCAGTTTTTGTTTTCATTTTTGTTCATGTTTGTTCTTAGCACTGTTATTTAATCTCAAAAAGCCTAAGAGGAAATCTGAAAAAAACAAAAACAAAAAATCACCCACTTCTGCTATGCTGGCAGATAACCCTTTCTCAGTGGATTCTATTACTTCCTTGTCCTTTAATCCAGTCCTTCACATACATTCATGTTCATAGGCAGGGCCATGTTTAATGAAAACAACTCTAAATTTTCCTTCTGCTTCTTCATGCTAATTTTCCTCACACTCCAGAAGGCTCTATGGAAGAATGATGGGAAATACAGAAAAAGACAGTCCCTGCTTGATGGGAAATACAGATAAAGACAGTCCCTGCTTACTGTAAGTCCAGTGGAGAAATCAAGACCACCTTAACAAAGGAATACC